AAATAGGATCTGCCAAGGTATAGTGTGTTTGCTTGCAGTACTATTGTCATAAATATATAATTTTTATATATATATCTGAAGTGGTTAACTAATAATAATTGCTGAAAATTTTTTTTTTTTATTTAAGGTGCCTGTTATCTCAATCAAAAATTTGAGAAAAACTTTTGAAGAATCTAAATCTGAAGGCTGCTGTCAAAGGAAAAAACAAGAAAATGAAAAACAGTCTAAAGTGGCTGTTAGAAACCTTTCTCTTGCTATCCATAAAAGTGAGATATTTGGATTACTTGGACCAAATGGGGCTGGGAAGACAACAACAATGAATATGATTATTGCAGACATCGCACCAGATTGTGGCAGTGTGAGTACTTTATATAAATTGTAATTTAATAATATGGTTTTGTGGAATATGAGGTTATTACGAGGATACATGTACCTCAAAGTATGCACAAAGACAGTGAAGCGGGAGTATCAACAGACAGGCAGAGGAAGTAGATGCGATGGCCTTCTGTCTGAGTGCATACTTTGAGGTATCCTTGTAGAAAGAGATTGTATATTTTTATAAAACTCATACAGTCCAGTTTTCCTCTGCTTTTTAGATGCTTCTAAAGCTTTCGATAGGATTAATCAGTGGACCCTGTTTCATAAGCTTCTTGGCAGGAATATGCCTGTGTTTCTAGTCCGAGTACTTGTATTCTGGTTTAGAAACCATGAATTCTCTGTGAGATGGGGACTATCTATGTCTATGTCTTTCCCTGCTTTAAATGGTGTCAGACAAGGGGGAATATTATCTCCTCTTATGTCTTTTTGCAGTGTATATGGATAAACTGAGTAAAGATCTAATGACTGAGAAAATTGGTTGTTTGGTAAAGTGGGCAGTGTATGAATCACCTATTTTATGCTGATGACATTGTATTACTTTGTCCGTCAGTTAAAGGTCTTAAAAGACTAGTTGCTATTTGCTGTATATATTCTGTATCAAACAGTATTATTTTAATCCTAAAAAGTCTGTATGTATTTCTATGGTACCTCTTCGTTGTAGAATTAGACAAATTCCATGCAAATTTTTGAATGGAGTTGCAGTGCGATTTGTCGACAAGCACACCTATTTGGGTGTGGTCATTAATAAACATGGGGATGATAATGATGATATTAATAGACAAATGAAAAGTTTTTATGCTAGAGCAAACTGTCTTATTCGAAGATTTGCTTACTGCTCTTCAAAAATAAAAATTAAATTGTTTCAGAGTTACTGTACGACTATGTACTGCTCCCATTTGTGGTCTATACATACTAAAGGGCAGGTTAATCGAGTTCGTGTTGCATATAATAATGCATTTAGAACTTTACTGAAGCTTGGCAAGAGGGGTATTAGTATGACTCAAACCCTTGTACATAATCGTGTCACTACTTTTGAAGCTCTTCGTAGAAAAGAAATGGCGAACTTCTTTTTAAGAATTATAAAAAGTGAGAATGCAATAATTACAGCTATTTATAGCCCAGATGTAATGAAATGTAGTACACTTTTGAGTACTTGGCTGAGCCATGTTTTTTAACATATTTATTATGGACATTTTCTTTGTATTTATTCTTATTTTCTGTAAATTTGGTTATGTTTATATGAGCTAGTACTCGAAATAAAGTATATTATTTATAATAACCGTAAATATTATTATACATCTTTTCCTTCCAAGGATACTGAACAGAATCAGCAAACTTTTTTGTGTGGAGTCCGTCCGGTCAAACCCTGGTGGCAGCCATGTTTGTTTTTATTATTAGAGGATGCTTACGCGTATAATCATTCCATATTTGGAATTCACGTTTCCTAATACCACAAAATTACGACACGCTGTAACTTATGCTGTTACAGTGACAGATGTATAATAATATGTATCATTGCAACCTGTGTTTGAAAAAAAATCTTTCAGAAGTGGAAAAATATTTTTAAAATTGAGATCATTTTAGTCAAAAAATGAATACAATTTCGTTTAGAGGAAAGCCCAACATCTTGCCAGACCAGTTTTGTATTCTTTAGTAAAGCAAATACACAAAAATTGGGTATAAGATCAAAAATAGAAAAGAACTGTATTAGGCATGTTAGAAAATTACATGTCTCGCAGGTGTCAGAAAGTGAAGCAATACCAATCAATTTTTCAAATTCTCGGAGGAAAAAATGAATGATATATGTACATCGATTTCTTTTGGGTTTCAATTTAGTTAACGACCTTGATTCCAATTGTGGGGACTACTTCATTGACACAAACCATTTCCGCTCATTGTTATCTTGCAGGTATATGTCATTGGTCAGGAAATAGACTCTCCCATATCAGAAGCTTTCCTATTAATGGGATACTGTCCTCAGATGGACCCACTGTGGGAAGAGTTAACAACAAGAGAACATTTAGAAACATATGCAGCTATCAAAGGTGTACACAAACATGACCTGAAACAAACAGCTCATTAGTGAGTATTAATTAAACCACATACAGTATTATGTATTTATTCACACAAAATTAACTCTTTGATTCTTTCTTTTTTTATGGTTGGCTGCTTAGGTGGATCTTTTTAATAAATATGTGCATTTCATGACCTACTGTAAAATCTGTATTAGAAGCTGCGGCTTCTATTAAAATGGTACAAAGCAACAGAGGGGATGCGGCTTCTATTAGAGCATCTACACATATGAGAAATGATGATTTTTTGATTCTCAATTATTCAAAAAGAATGGGTGCGACTTCTATTAGGGATGCGGCTTCTAATACAGATTTTACGGTACTAGTTCTCTAGTTCTCAATATTTGAATGAATATTTTTGTTAAATTCGGTACAAACTACTTTTTGATTTTTGTGTGTAAGCTGCCTTTTCTTGATACATTGTACCATTGTTGAACCTTCTGACATCATATTCAATTTTTTTTTTAAGCGGATATTTTTGTCATTTTAGGGTGAAAAATAATATCATCTTCTTGAAAACTACAAGATGATAACATATTCAATTGCCATGGCAAGAAAAGTATGGCAACAAACGCTATGAAAAATAGCTAGTATCTCATACAGAGCATCATCAACTTAATTTTTAGGCAGACACTTTACGAAAAGAGCAGAGTTATTTCAACTGTGAGGGCGCCTGTCAAACATGTACATGGTTTTTAATGATCTTGTTATGCACAGGGTAAAATGCTGTTTTTTTTTATTACTGGTTATAAATTATAGTTAAATATAGCAAATTACCATGTTTTGTGTTTTATTTTTTTGGTCAGTCAATGAACATGGAAAAATATAATTCAGAATAATGCAGTTGTCAGTTATTATATACATACACTCACATGAGATTTTGTTTTTTGATTTTTGATATCCCTAACATTCAGGTTGTGCATGTCTTTCCGTCACACTTGCATCCTAATTTTGGATCTAAGTTGGGTATGTTATTCCCACTTTTTAACCAGCACACTGGTGATTTAAACTGATTTCTATGATCACTCATGTTTGTGAGATCATTGCAGTGTACTGCGATGAATCAAATAATGCAATTATGCCACATGAGTGCAATGAATGCATGATACAAATGTCATGAATGCCGGCCAAAGATTTAACAAAAGCAGTACTGTAGTGTTTTACATCCATTTTGCATGTTAATGTTGAGTGAATAATGCATAAATTCACTATGTTCAATTACCCACCATAGACTCTGGTCAGTTAAAATGACTATGTTGAACTGTAAGCATTAATCTGTGATTCAGCCAATGACGGAGAGAGAAATCTAGGTCAAAATGTTATTCAGCCAATGACTGAGAGAGAAATCTAGGTCAAAAAGTTATTCAGCCAATGACTGAGAGAGTAATCTAGGTCAAAATGTTATTCAGCCAATGACGGAGAGAGAAATCTAGGTCAAAATGTTATTCAGCCAATGACGGAGAGAGAAATCTAGGTCATAAAGTTATTCAGCAAATAATTATTTCTTTGTTTATTTTTTCTGTAATCTGTACCAGCTACTTCATTTGCCTCCTTCATGGTGATATTGGCAGTACTATGTTACATTTTGTAATAAAAACATATTTTCATTTCATTTTTAGTTTCTTGGATGCCTTAAAGATTCAAGAACATGCTGACAAAAAAACGAAAGCCCTATCTGGAGGAACAAAACGAAAGGTAATCAGTTGTTTCTCGCTGTAAAATTAATCCACACGTGTCAGGGTGGGTATGTATTATTAAGTCACGTGGCTTGTACCCCAGTAGTATATGTACCAGGGTAATATGTTCTTACAGTTCAAATACAATAAATTGTTAATTTTTATTTGTCTGCATATTAGCTAAATTTTAACGTACTGACATTTGTCTTGTCTGTTTATTGAACTGTTAATCAGCCACTTTCGAAATAATTGTTGATTTTATTTTTACTACTTTTACAAAATGTATACATTTGTACTTATCAGTTGGTTGATCAGCAATGTCATTATGTATATTTTCAGTATATAGTTTTGTATACATACATAAAGTTTTGTAGATTTATGAGTAATTTATTTCTATGGTTTAATACTAGCTATGTTTTGCAATGAGTATGCTGGGAGAACCCCAAGTTGTTCTCATGGATGAACCTTCTACTGGAATGGATCCTGCAGCAAAAAGATTCTTGTGGTATGTACTGAATTAGGAAATGATTTAAAAGGAGTTTAGAAATCTTCTGTAAAGTGCTTGCTTCTACTTATTCCATGTTGCAATGTAGTGTTTTCAGAATGCCTTATTTCTGCATTTTCACTATGCCTAGACACTGTTTGTTTCAACTATGCTTAGGCATTGTTTCACTGTGTCTAGGCATTGTTTGTGTTCACCATTGCTGATTGTGTTGTTTTCACTATGCCTAGGCATTGTTTGTGTACACCATTGCTGATTGTGGTGTTTCACTATCGAATAGGCATTGTTTTTGTTTCTCATTGCTGATTGTGGTGTTTCATTATGCCTAGGCATTGTTTTTGTTCACAATTGCTGATTGTGGTGTTTCACTATGCCTAGGCATTGTTTTTGTTCACAATTGCTGATTGTAGTGTTTCACTATGCCTAGGCATTGTTTTTGTTCACAATTGCTGATTGTCGTGTTTTCACTATGTCTAGACATTGTTTGTGTTCACAATTGCTGATTGTGGTGTTTCACTATGCCTAGGCATTGTTTTTGTTTCTCATTGCTAATTGTGGTGTTTTCACTATGCCTAGGCATTGTTTGTGTACACCATTGCTGATTGTGATGTTTCACTATCGAATAGGCATTGTTTTTGTTTCTCATTGCTGATTGTGGTGTTTCACTATGCCTAGGCATTGTTTTTGTTCACAATTGCTGATTGTAGTGTTTCACTATGTCTAGACATTGTTTGTGTTTCACCATTGCTAATTGTGGTGTTTTCACTATGCTTAGGCATTGTTTTTGTTCACAATT